AAATTTAAATAAAAAAAATATAGAAGGAATTGTTTCTTGGATCTTATTTCTACAAACAGAATATATAATTATCTGTTATGAAATTAAGCGGAATTGACTACATTCCGGATTCGAATTGTCCGTTCTCAAAATATGAGGGAGGGAGCATCCACTAGCTCGAATAATCGGCCCTAATAATTTAGTCACAAGACTAGTCGAGAAGTAAAGCCCATTATTTTAAATTTTATTCTTAGAGTTTTTCATCGTGTAACGAATTTGCAAGAGTGAAAAAGATCTTAAATTTTGAGAGATTCGGATTCAAATCCATAAAAAAAACGTAAGATTTTTCAGCGAAATTACTTTTTTAGCCTGATTTTGTAATTTTATAATAATATTAGTTTAGAGTATTTCAGGTGTTTCCCTTAACCCATAGTGGAACATCTTAAACTGGGATGCGTGCAAGATTTGGAGTCCTAATGCAGCATCTTAATCTAGAATATGTATGAGATTTAAAGTCGTAATGTAGTTTCCTATTCTGGGATAGGCTAAAGATTTAAAGTCATAGTGCAAAATCTTAATCTGAATTAGGTACAAGATTTAAAGTCATAGTGCAAAATTTTAATCTTAATTAGGTACAACATTTAAAGGCATAATGCAGCATCTTAATCTAGTAAATGTATAAAATTCAAAATCATAATGTAGCCTCCCATTCTGGGATAGGTAATAGATTTAAAGCCTTCCGGCAATATCTTAACCTGAATTAGGTACAAGACTTAAAGTCATAATGCAGCATCTTAATCAGGTATATATATATATATATATATATNTCATAATAACAAAAAATCCCATATAATGTAGGGTCTTAAATTGGAAGATGAATTGGTTGGGCCAAACATACATCCATGCATGTACAGTGCATCAAAAAAAAATGGATCACCCTGAATAACTTTTGATCTAATGATCGGATCTTCACGCTCTAGGACTCATTCTTAGTGGTTCGAAGAAGTAACCTCAAATATGCTAATCAGTTAGTGCAAACGATATTTTAAGTTACGTAATCGGACACAAAAACGTACTTTCTCTGAATAAGCATACCTTTTTTTCGACGGATTCAAATTTCTGACAAATATGGTCCCCAAATACGGCAGAGCAACGAATTCGCTTTATGTGTCAACTGTAATAAAAACGCCAACAAGAAAATTGAATGTTTTATGGGATAGATCCTAAAACAGAAACTTAACAAAAAAAAATCAAAATGGCATTTAAGATATAAATTCAACGTGCCAAAATGTCATATTTCGATTGCAAACATATGGCAATGACCCCCAAATTAAAATCCTAATCCGATACTTAAAATCACCAAATTTTATCGAGACAAATATAGCTCTTTTCTCGTTTTACCAACACTATAATAGTCCCTCGCACAAAGTGTTTTCAACTTGATTTAACACACCATGCAGTCTCAACTCATCTCATTTCAATTTCATTCCCGCTTTACTACAAAGCGAACGCCGCTTTTAATGAATCACAGATGAATCACTGCACTTAGCTTGTCTGGAGGTATTCCAGACTTTCTCCTTTCTGACAAAGATTGAATCCTTTTTGCCAAGGACAGTACCTTGAGAAAATTGCGCGTTTTTGAACAGGTTAAAATATAGTAACGCATGAGTACAGGTTTGTTTATTTTGGAATGATCCGCGTTGATACTTTTAGAAATCGATGAGGGAGTGCATTAAGGTGGAACTAAATTTGCATTGGCAGCAATGCGTGAAATGGAAGATTTAATATAGAAGTCGTTTAAAATAAACACTGAGTTATCATCTTGTGGCATGAGTAAATAATTGTGTTTATGAAACGGAGGAATATTTTTATCGAATGTGGCTAGAATCGAATAGTTATTGGAGTCTTAGAGAGGTAACTTCGTACGTAATTTGTTATCATAGCGTCATGATGAACCTTGGAGAATGCGAATGATTGCATTATTTATTTCGAAACATGCAAGAGAAAATTTTGTAAAATATAGATATTTTTAGTTTTACTTTTAGGTGAATATAATATATATTTCAAATAAAACTGCCGAATATATTTTTCGTTGTATGAAATATTTGAAATTCATTGAATACTTTTAGCAATTAGAGAAACCTGAATGTTAATAACTTTCAAAAGTTTAACAGTGAATTTAATGTTTAATAAAGAGAAGTCAAGACTTTTTCAGCATAATTTTGAATTGTCGTAGTTCAAAAAAATCTTCCAAGAATCCGGATAAATGTCTCTTTAAAATTGCGAAAATATTTTTAATTTGATAATAATTGTGAGAATACACTCAAATGTATACCAAGCCTAATCTGTCCTATATCCAAGTGGTAGTAAAAATTCATTCTTAGATGCATAAAATTTAACCGATCACTGAATAATTTATTTTTAGTGAATCAGAGAGCGTATTCAAGTAATAATATAAGAATATAATAGTAAGAATATGATAATAAGAAGAACATATTAATATAACTCATAACCTAACTTATCCTTATTAAAATAATTGCAAAAATACACTCTCAGATACGCAAATACTAACACGCATCCCTTCATAAGTTAAGTTTTGTGTATGTGAGAGTGTTAGTAAATAGTATCACTATCACATATTCAGATATGAGTAGTCTCACTATCTCATAAGTAGTCTGACTATCACATATTCATGACCTTGTGAATAAATAGTCTTGGATACTCATTATCACACATTCATAACCTAACTTATGCTGTATTCAAATAGTTGATGAAACTCACATATTCATAACCTAACTGATCTTGTGCATAACTTTGAATTGACGAAATTTTGCACGAATCCACAAGGAAAATATTTTTAAATTGATAATAATTTTGAGAATACACTTGAACATTTACAAAGCTAACCAATTCTATATTCGATTAGTTGTGAAATGCATTTTTACAAACACAAAACTCAACCTATCATTGAATAATTTATTTTTTTGTTTATCAGAGAGTGTATTCAAGTAGTCTTAGAAATTCACTTTCTCATATTCATAAATAAGTTTCTTGTTCATAATAAGTTCATAAATAAGTTTCTTGTATTTGAGAATGTATTCGAGTAGTCATTGAAATTCACTATTACATCTTTAAAACCTAACGCCTCCTATTTTCAAATAATTGCGGCAATACAATCTCAGATACACAAAAACTTATTGTATCAGATGCTCAAATACTTCTGCACTTACGCATAAACTGCTCAACAATGAAATTCGCATACATACTATGACATGCACAAAACTTAGCCTATATTTAAATAGTTGTGTGAATTAACTTAAAAAATACAAAAAACTTTAACTATTTTTTGTTGAAATTGTTATGAAAATGCACTCTCAGATACACAAAACGTATTCTTTCAAAGCTACCTGGACAAAAGTTTTGTTGAACAAAAGCATTAACGCATAAACTCAGCAAAACATTATTTACGACATAGCATTCTGCATAATATTACTAAATTATGACTCTTAATCGAAATCGCAATCAGTTAAAATTTCATATTTTAAGAAAATAAAAAGTGCTGTACTCTTGTTTTAATGTGTAAATGAGTATTACGGGAGGCTAATCAGATAATTTCACAATGTTCATAAAGTGCCAAATTTTAATTTGAGGAAATAACTTAAAAAGACAACTTAAAAAAGAATACGATTTAAAAAGATTTTAATCAAAGGACCTAGCAAAAATCTCTTACAAATTAATTCTCTGTCAAATTTGATGAACATTTTCTATGTTGTAGTTCAAAATATACTTAGCAAAAGTTCTCATTACCTCAAAGTCCAAAAATTGATAGTTACCAGGATACGCAGCCTGAGCTATAAATAGCAAGTCTCAATTATTTAATACAGTCATGACATTATCATTAACCAATAGGCACCACGTACAGATTGTCGAATCGGATTTTGTACAAGTTTTTGTTCTTATAAGGGTTGATTATTAACAAGATAAGATACTTGGGCCTTCATGGACACACTGAGTCCTCAAGATATTGGGAAGCAAGAGAACGTTTAAGGCAATGACTTCGGTCCTCTTACTTTGTTATCCTACGTACATTTGTATTCGTTATTTATTTCATCTTTCTATTTGTACCTTTTGCCTTGCCATTCAAAATTTTTAAAAAAAGATACTTGGATGTATAAAAATATATTTAGCTACGCATAAACAGGACAAATCATTAAATATTTGAATATTAATTACATTTTGTTGAGGAAGTCAATTTGTTGCATATTAGATACATTTAATTAACTTCGTAGATGAAAACTTTTTCATTTTATTTTATAATTAGAGTTGGACAGCCAATCCAATTCTGAGTTTACGACTATCAATGTTCAACTTCGTAGCCTTGTAATTTTGAACCCACTTTAGAAGACAAGAAAACTCCTGAATCACACATCTAGCATTCGTGGAGGAGTTTTGATGGTACTAACCAGCATTTGTGTTACATTTAGAGGAAAACCAAGAAAACCTCCCACGGTTTGCCCGATGGAAAGGGGGTTCTAACCCATGATCCATCTACCACTGAGAATATTTTACGTTCGCATTGTGGTTGATGCTAACCGGGAGCAGAATTTGTATCAACCAGCCACAGTTGGGATTCGAAACTGGGTTACCTCATTGGGAGGCGAACACTCTATCCCCTGAGCCACTACGGCGAAGATGAATACTTGATATTTTCTCTCTACCACGCATAACCCTAAAAACCACTCACAACGTGAGCGCAAGTACCATATGTTCAATGCTGTGCGCAAGTGTGCTTAAAGCACCTTTGACCAAAGCGAATCTTCATACATCTTTTATGTTTGAGGCTTTGTATCTTGGAAATTATCTACTTTGTAAACTACTAAACTTCTGCGGAGAATGTTTTGAACAACATAGTTGATTTTTAGCCAATTTGACAGAGAATTAATTTCCATAAGACTTTATGCTGAGTCCTTCATCCGTTTTTGTTACATGGTATGGCATATAACAAAATCGTTCTGAAGCAATAAAAATATTCATGTCGTTTATTTACATTTTGAGTACACATTAATGTTTTCTGTACAATTTTGTTTGGTATCCTTCAAAACCTAATTTTCTCCTGTGTTTCCTTTTCTTGTCTCGGGCGTGACGCTTCTGTAGATATGAAATGCCATTGAATATTCGCGCCTCTAAAAAGTCATAAACTTGTATCAATGATATCCCCAACCAAAGTCCAACATAACCTCCAATCCAACTAAGAATTCCAACTGGCTAAAAAATACAAAAATAATTTTTTGAAAAGTCTAAAAGAAAATGAACAAAAAAAAAATACATTGTATAAATACAATGCGTTCATTTCAAATTTACTGACTAGAGGTAAACATTATTAATACATGATAAATACTTCACTACTTGGTAGAGTTGCACTACAAAGTTACACTGCGTTTGGAAACAATGTAGTGATTGATTGAGTTCTTTGATTTTAACTTGATTAGTCTATCGTTATTAACAATATATTATATGTTTAATTTCTTTTTAATGATACAAAAATCCAGATTCAGTTTCTACGTAAAAACTTACAATATTCAAAGCAATGAAAGTAAAAGGTGTTATAAACTATGTCTGAAAGGAAGAGTAAAAATGACAAAGAAGCGAACTAAACGAAGGAAATCATACTCTGGTAATCCTAAAGTGGCACTATGTGAAGGTACATTGTAAATTAGAGATTTCTTTAGCAGCCACAGAAAAATTAAATTCAAGACTTTTATCTAATATATAGTAATTATTTTTGACGGTAATTATCTAATTTTTAGTAAGTATTTTTTCCCTTAAGGTACGTACGTCGAAGATATGTAAATTACTTTCATTCAATCGGAGCATTGTGTGGCTTTATTTGTAGGCCTTCCAAAAGATAACGTTTGATTGTGTAATTCAGAAATATGCAAATGACTACATTATGAATAAAATGTGTAAAAAAAAACTCCTTTTTTTATTTACATATAGGAAGATCATTAATATAAAATGTATATTTAATTCCATATAAATATTCATTGTTAAAGTTTATTTCATTAAGATAAACATAGCTCAAATCTAATATTTTTTTTTAAGTTATCTTTATCTGACTTTTATTACACTTGTTATTTTAAGTGAGGCTCATTATTATTTTAAATAAGGCTCATTATTTTCTTTGAACATTAAAAAAATTAAAGTAGCTCTTGGAAATACTTCATTTCTTTCATTTTTGACCGAAAAAATTTATGTTCATCTCACTGTACGAACAAACAACTTTAGTTAAAAGTAATGAGAAAAAAAAACTTCTAGAAAATAATTCGCCAAAGTTATTTTGAAATAGATATTACCTTCAGCTTATGATAAATAAGTAGAAATGTCCCCAAAAAGGGACTGGAATACTAATGGATTATGGGTAACCCTATATATTTTTTACTTCCATGATTCTTGGTTAACTAGAATTGGCGTTTGCCATTTGGAAAGCTTTTATTACAAATTGTTGACAGATGCATCGAAAAGAAGGTGGATAACGATTAGATAACTACAATCAAAGAATTTTCCTACAATGGCATCAAGGAATTACTATATTTACATTTCCAATAAAAGCTATTTCTATTTACTTAGGCTAATTGGTAAAAAACAGTAAAAAGTAAAAATAATGAACAGTACTTTTTTGGTTACATTTGTTACAGTTTTGTTTCCTAATTTTTAATTCTTACAATGTTCTTTTGATAAAATTTATGTAAAATATCCTCTTATGTTAGAAAAATATGCCAATTAGCCATTTGTTACTGTTTTGCTTCCAACTTTTATATTCTTACAATGTTCTTTTGATAAAATTTATGTAAAATATTCTTCTATGTTAGAGAAATAGGCCACATTTCTTTTAAGTTATTTGATATTCAGAAAGAAAGTGTTTTCTTTTTTCATGGAAAGAAGAATTTTCTCAAATAATTTACTTTCATTTAAACGTTTACCCTATAAAAGTTTTCTTTCTAAAAATGGGTCTAACTATGGGAATTATGTTCGTTTATTTTAGGAGTTTTACTTTTTTTTTTAAATTATCAAATGTTTTGATTTATTTTTTACCAAATATGACTAGTTAAAAGAAGTAAAAATATGACGTAAAATGTTGATAAAAGTTAACAAATTATATATATATTAAAATTCTTACCTCCAGTCGAGGAGAATAAGTAAAAGTACTGATTTCCATGTTTTCTAGAAATATCTGTACTAGAGTACTGCATCTGTAAAAAAATTGAAATAACGAATATTTAGTGCTTACTACAATTACAATTTTTTGTTCAAAACTAAAATAGCATATTTCTTGCTTATTTTTCTTTCTTTTAAATGATTTTCTTTTCATAGATTTAAATTAACAATTTTTCTTTTTATTTAAATAGACATCATACATGTTAATTCATAAAGTTATACTTTAAGCAAATAACAGAATAGTTTACTGCTTGAATAAAAACTTCAAACGCTTTAAAAATGCATAAATAGGAAATAACAGCAGCCCGTCTAAACTTGACAGACATGAACGAAAAGAAATAAAAGTGATTTAAATCATAAAACTTAAAGTTGCAACGAGGGAAGAGAAACTAAAGGTGAGAAACAAAACTAGAAAAACAAGTCAAGAAAAAAAAATATTTAAGATATTACGGTACGGAACTCTTATTTACTTCACCCATAGCTGCACAATGGGCTATTGGCGACGGGCTAAGAAACAACCCTGAGGATGATCCGGAGACAGCATATATACGTTACATCACGTTTTACAATAAAGATACATCCACACACCATTAATCCATCCGCAGATCGTAATATTGGCCTGAACCAGAGAATGATCAATCTCGTGTTAAACCCCATTACCCCCAAAAAGTATTGATTTGTTATCAGAACTTGGAGGACTTTGTGACCACGACTGATTTAGCTTGCACCACTCACAATTTGGTACATGATGAGTCTTTAAACTACAGGGGTTGAACTACAGGGGTTGAACTCACGGCCTCTCGGACATAGGCCCAATGCCCTACCAGCATGGCTATCCCGGTGCCGTAAAAAGGTGAAAAACAGGAGTAAAAATATAGTGACTGAAAAGCGCAAATCATACTTTTTTTGTTTTTCCTCTTTATTTTTCCTTTCTTTCGTTGGCAACTTTACGTTTTATATTTTATATCAATTTTGTTTTTTTCTCATTCACGTCTGACAAGTCTTGAAAATGGGCGCCTTGAAACACGTCGACTGTTATTTCCTATTTATACATTTTTGAAGCAAATGAAGTTTTTAATCAAAGGTTTTAATCTTAAAGCATCAGTTTCTTGGGATTATTTAATTGTAACCAAATAGTTTGGTTTCTACAATTACTTAAGGCTATATTTTCAAAATTATTGAAAATATATGACTCAATTCATTATTCCAATGAAGTAATCAAAATGTTTAGTTTTAATTACTTTGATTATTTTGTCTGATTTAGTTCATACATACTAAAATTTCCCTTTACTTTAAAAATTAACCTTTTGAAAGCAAAATAGAAAAGTGTGAGAAGCGCAATGATTAAAAAGTTTAAGTTAAGATTTGGTTGCTTAAGTTGCTCTAACTCTACTCTAAAGGGCTGTTCTCAAATAGAAATTAAGCCTTTGTTGACTTTTAGAAATTCATTTTTTTTTTAAATTATTTCAGTCCCTTGTCCATTTTTTTCGAAGCAGAAATGGTACACTAATTACACTAATTAACTAATAAATCATTCAAAAATAAATAATAATCATTACAATCATCATAATAATAATCAGAAATAAGTCATTCAAAAACGAATTTCACATAACTAACTAATTATCTCTTTCTATGTAGGACAGACTTATAAATAGGACTGCAAAGGTTTATAATTCTTAATTATCGGACTCATTTTTTAATTTTTTGAATTCCAGAAATACTTTCTAGTTAGCTTTTAATTCGCAAAAATCATGGTTTTAAATAGATAAAATGGAAGTCATCAACTACAAAAAATCCAACAAATCTCATTAAAAGTTTGAGGGGAATTTTATAGACTTTTATAAAAGATATATATTTTACTCATAATAATATGAGTACTTGACTTACGCTAAGTCATGGGCAGTAATGCAATCATTCTGAAAAAAAAATATTTTTTATTAAAAATAGAGTTACAAATTCTTTAGGTCAAATACATTTATTTAAAATATTTGCAAAATATAAAGGAAAAATTCTTTACATATTTATGAATAATCACACACTGAAAGCTATATAGACTATAATAATTGTAAGATATTTTAATTTTGAAATTTTGTTTTTCGCTTAATTATTTTAAAGCAGCGATTGTCAACTTTTAGTCGCTATGGGGCCCTAAATGATCAACCTTCTTTCGACGGAAATTCGACTTTTTAAATAAAGACAAATGTGAACGGATTAAAAAATTAAATACTATTTCCCTTTTAAAATATTTAATAAGTAGAATGATTTTTTATAATTAGATTATCATTAATAATCTTAAATTAGATCATTATTATAACTTAATGATCAAATTATTACATTTTATCATTAATAATCTTAAATTAGATTTCATGTTCGACGCATATTCGCTGTCCCGGAGTTTTATCTAGTTTAGTAAAGACTTTGTTCTTGATGTTTAGACATAAGAAAAAAACAGTTAAAATTAATTAAATTACGGTTCTCTTTTAAATGAAAACTAAAACACTGCTATAAATGGCGAAAATAGTTTTAAGGAAAACATATTTCTTTATTAGCGAACTTAATTATTTTATTTTGATTTGAAAATCCAGACGGGAAATACTAAAGCAATTTTTTTATATAAATGCATGTTTTTTCCATAAGTTCTCTATTTACTGCAGTTCCGCAGTTGACTGATCATTAAGACACGGTTCTCAGTAGATCACCGAAGTCAAGCGTCACTGGTTACGGTCAGTGTGAGGGTGGGTGACCACTTGGATCAGTCTGCGTACGGTCAGAGGGTGTGCGGTATTGCTCCTCTTTAAACTGTTCTACCGCAAAATACTAGACTTCGCGTTCAGGCTGTCAGGCTACCAAAGTGGGGGGCAAAATTGTAATCTTCGGATCATCCTTAGGGTTGTTTCCCACACCGTTGCCAATAGTCCATTGTGCAGCTCTAGTGCAACATAAATGGACTACAACAACAACTATTTATTGCAATTTGAGAAATTACATTTTTTTAAGAAAAGGAAATTTCTTATTGACATTTTTTAAAATAATTTCATAATTGCAACCGAAAAATTAAACAAATAATAGATTTTTGATTGAATTTAAATCTAGTTAAAAATTTCAAAGAAATCCTAAATTACGGAATTTCTACAACTCTATTATAGAACCCTTGGATTCTACCGGACACAACTTGAAAACTACTGTTTTAAGGCACATAGCAATTTAAGAAAGAAAACAAAACTTAGTCACTTGAAGAAACTCATCAGAAACTCAAAAATATTGTACTTCAAGATAATTAGTGTATCAGAAAAATTCCATACCAACTCAGTTTCAAGCTTAATAAATATTTTCATTGAAGAATTTCAGTTTTCTTCCTCGATGGACACTTTAAAAAGTCACGAAATATCATCACTTAAAAAAAGACAATTTTAATTCCTAAAAAAAATTAAAAAAGTCAGAAAAGGGGTATTTTAATTTGTGATCAAAATACGCCTTTGTTTTTTGTTAAAATTACATATAATTTCCATTTGTAAGATTTAAGATGTTACAATGTTATACAAACGAGCCATGTAGGCTCAGAGGATAGAGCGTTCGCCTTCCAATGAGGTGAACCGGGTTCGAACCCCAGCGATGGCTGGTTTATACGGATTCCATATACTGGCTCACATCAACCACAGCGCTGAACTAAAATATCCTCAGTCGTAGACGGATCACGGGTTAGAAACCCTTTCCTTCAAGCTAACCATGGGTAGTTTTCGTGATTTTCCTCTCCATTTAACGCAAATACGGGTCAGTTCCATCAAAAAGTCCACCACGAAGGCAAATTTCTCCCAATACTTGATCCAGGAGTTCCCTTGTCTTCCGAATTGAGTTCAAAATTACAAGGCTACTGAGTTGAACCTTAGTAGACGTAAGCCCACAATTGGTTCGGATGTTCAACGACTTTTATAAAATAACCATTTATTAACTCTATGATCACGATTTTTTCCTAGAAACTCTTAACTTCAAAAAGAACTATAGTAAGCAAAATAATAAGTATTTACTGTACAATATCATGCAAAGCTTTAACAAACTCAAACTTTTGTACTTACGCGGAATCCTTCGCTAAAAGACTGCTGTACTTGAAATTCATAATTATCAAACCTAATTTTTTTTTGAAAATAAAATAAAGACATTAATTATGGTGTTAATGCAGAAACCTTTAGTTTAAATGGCGCGTAAAATGAACATAATTTATATTTATAACTGAGTGACAGTTTAACTGATAAATTTAATCCTAATAAAAAACCATATAAAGTTATCCAATATAAAGTCATTAAATTTAATCCTGTAATAAACCTCCAGCAATTAACTTTTTACTTTATTTGCATTAAAGTTATTAGAATAAACTGCATTGAAACTACTATGCATTTAAAATATCACAACATGTTGCTTTTAAACTATTAGGTAATAATTTAAAAGCAGTAGATTCAATTCTATAAATCTGATGACTTAAATTTATATGCATTTAAACTTTGATAACATCTTGCTCTTAAACTATTACAACATTTTGCGTTTTAAATACTATATACACTTAAATTGTTAGATAACTAGTAGAATTGGTAGCAGATTCAGTCTTAATTGTAGTGAGTTATTAATATGGAACATGACATAATTTGTGCTACATTTTGAAGAGCATGGCCTTATATTTACTAATGATTTAAGAGTAATGATTTATTGTTTCTGATGCATTATTTACGTTATGCCGAATAAACAAAATCCAAGTAGCTAAACCCTAATAGGTTTGATATTCAAGGCTTCATTTGTAAAAAGTAGAATTTTTTAACTATACCTGTTGATGCGTTTGACGTTGCTATCAAGACAAATAAGGTATTTTTTCCTATTTTTTTTGTACTGAACTGAACGAAATAAAAGTAGTATCGACAGGATTCCAACGTTATAAAAACAGCTTAATTAAAGCTTTTCAGTACAAAAAGTACAGTTTTGCAAACGTCTTCACATTACTAAATGAGATAAAGGAGGCATTTGATGAGTTCAGAGACACGGAATTTTCAGTGCAAGCTCCAAAGTTTTTCAACATATGAAACAATCGTTTGACTGTCGACTTTTCGAACAATTCTGTTTATAGTTTTCATGTGACATCTATTTTTTTTGTATTTAATAACAATTATTTTCATCAATATTTTAAATAATTCTGTTAGAAAGAGACTACAACTGAAAAAGTTAAAACCTTTAAACAATTTTATAGTGTGCTTTAAAAACTCTAATCTGGAAACTCTCCAATTGTTTGTAAGCATTTCTTGCACAAAATAAAAAAAATCAGAATAAAGTCAATAGATCTAATAGTTTTTAAGATAGTTGTGAGTAAGAATTCAGTTTTGAGTTTAATTATGACACAAAAAGTACAAGTCTAAGTGTGTACTTTTCATACTACCTTCAATACTCTTAATTTATAAGTCTCTAGACTTAGTTTTAAGTTTATTAGATTTAGCGTAAAAACATGCATGGGACACAACACCTCACTTGCCAAGATAGCAATGCCAGGTGTCTAAATATGTGCAATTCGAAAATTGGACTTTTTATACATTAAACATTAATAACATAAAAAATATTAGCTTTATCGTTTTGGGATTTGTTTTAGCGTAAATAATTTCATCAGAAATAATATTTCATTTGTCTAGATAGCAATACGTAAGTCAACCTTCTCCTTTCAAAGCCAGAAATAGAATATAAAGTGTCACGATATCGTACAATCATGTTCATAACATATACTAATATGATCAATAAAATATCATGCTTTATCAAAAAGTGCACAGTTATGCATTTTAATATCATGTCATTCCACTAATCAAAAATAATTCCACTTACTTGCATGGCATTCCACACTTTTTTGCACATACAGGCATAGCTTCCTGGTGAAATCGAGGAATGACTAAAATAGCAAGGTTAAATTGATCTCATTTAAATATTTAATAAACTCACAAAATATAAGGAACATATAAAACTTGCGAAAAATTTAATAGATTCTAATTAGCAGTTATAAAACGTTCATTCACTAAATAAAAACAAAAAATATTCTCAACTTCATGTTTATATGAATGGTGTTGTTAAATTAAACATTAATTTTATTGGCTAATGATTGGAATTACAGAATGAAAAGGCACACCATAATATATATTTATATATATTTTTAAATTTCGTGCTAAAAATCAAGTCAAAAAGTATACACATTAGAATTTGCAAATCATTATTTAAGCGATGACAAAACGACGCTTAAAATCTGTCCTATTATCATTGAGGATCTTGGGATAAAAATGTTAAAACCAGTTTGATTGTTGGCTAGCCTGAAATTCACTTGACTGCATTTCTCCGTAATGATGTATATTTCATTAGTTTTTTTTCTTCACTTAAATATTAATTTGCGATCTCTTATGAGTATATACTTGATTGACATATTTTAAAAAAATTATTCTGAAAATAAATATTAGGAGTGCTTATAACGGAACACCAACTATGAATTCTGAAATAAACCACCTTTTTCACATATAGTTTCATTGTGTGGATAATCTACGCGAGCATCTACACATCCATACAATTCCAAAGAGCGATCAAGTTTGCATTTTTCTTTGCACATCTGTAAGATAAGCAAAGCAAAGATAAGTAAGATGAGAAAAGCAAAGATAAGTAACATAAGCAAAGCAAAGATAAGTAACATAAGCAAGGCAAAGTAAGGTAATCAAAGCAAAGAGAAGTAACACAATTAAGATAAGCAAAGCATCATCATTACTAAATAGATAAAATCAATACATAAACTAACTGTTCTTATCATGAATAAAAATTCTTCTATTAGATACATAAGCGTTATCCTATTTTTATTATGTTAAGCACTAATGACTCCTAAAGTCCCTCGACATAATGTTACATAACCAATAAAAATTCTTTTCTCGTGTTTATATGGAAAAGCTGAAACTGAGCACTAAGTTGGGCAGAAATAAATAATACAATCTATATTCTCATTTTCGTCATGCACCTGAGAAAAAATTATAGTCGAAACCACCAGAATATGGTGAAACTCCCCGTGTTTCTGGCCCTATTTGAAGACAAAAAAGTTTTTACCGAAGCACTTTGATAATGATTTTGATATAATTAAAACAAATATGGTTTAATAATATATGATAAAATTTAGTAATTTTGTTATCTTACAGTATAGTATAACAATTATTCATTCAGTTAAATTTACTCAACCTCCGGGCAGCGGACCGGTAGCGGGCCGTGGATCAAATGTCACCGGGCCATTCAAGAAGCGTTAAATTATTTCCCTTTTATTTACTGACGTGCATTTCTTTTGGTTTTATGTGACTTTCTATGAACCATAGTTTGACTGTGAGCTATGATAAAATTTAATCTGAGATAAACCTAAAACTAAGATCCGTCATCTAAGTTTGCACCCCTACAGCACATGAAACAATATTTTGTTCAGAAGACATGCTTAAATACAATTGAATTAAAATTTTCAAATCAAAACCTTTTAAAATGTAAACAATTAACGTCCGTCCCCCTTTCAGCGAGCCCCTGCAGAATCATCAAACGTTAACCGGTTCGCGGCGACAAAAAGGTTGGGGAGCATGACATAAAAACCGTTTATTCGGGATATAATAAGAACTGTAATTTTGAAAATCAGAATTTCTGGTAAATCGTTACCGTAAATAGACGTTGGTAAATCGAGGGAAAAATTATCACATCAAGGGTTCAAATTCAATCAAATTCAACTTCGGCAATGCCAAAATTATTCCCACTCTAGCCACATAAGCTCATTTTGATGCTCTGGAATCTTTTTACATTCATTCAGACAGATTCCCTTGTTAACGATATAAGTTCCTCACCTCCACTCCACAGTGCGTGAAAATGCATTTTACTTTGATTTGCCCTTATCCGCCACGTTGGTTTTCTTGCTCTGTTCTCTTATCTCGTATTTATTTTTCAGATTCACTCTCGGCTACTTTGGTTTTTCTAGTTTTGTTTTTCCATTTGTTGTCACCAACTTTTCGTTTTATATTTCGAATCACTTTTGTTTCTTCTCATTCACGTGTGACAAGTCTTGAAAATGAGTGTCTGTTTTTGAGCACTTGAAATATGTCTACTATTACTTCCAATTTGCACGTTTTTGAAGAGAATTATTTTTTTAATTAAGTCATTTGAAGTTGTGTTTAATTTTTAATAATGCTTAACTGATGCAGGAGATGGATGCATTATACCAACAGTGATTGGCCAGAAACTTTTTTGACCAAATTTTTCTTAACATTGGTATACTACTTTTCATTTACTTTACTTGCATTTTTTTCTTCATTTTCTGCATTTTTTTATTATCTTGCTTTTTTATTTTCGTTATTTTTCTTCGGTTCTTAACCATTTTATGAGTTTTTGTTTGAATAAAGAATTTAAAACTGTTGTATCTCTAATGAAGTTTATTAATACGTATATGGACATTTAGTCAATATTCCAAATAAAATTTTCAAATTACACTGAGCTTTGTATAAACCAAATCCTGGAGTATGTAAGTTGAATGAAATACTTTTAAATCAAACATTTCGCAGGGTGCATATGTTGCACAGTTTTAGAACTTCATTTAAAAAGGGTACCAGCAAACATACAATACCAGAATTCTTTCAACCCATGCGCATAAAAGACATATGGTTGACATCAAAACAACTGAATCACTAGTACGAAAATATTTTCAAACTTTCAATATTTTTCAGAAACGCCGCTGTCAAATCGGTTTACTTTAATTTTGTGTCTGTTAGGCTATTTGCGTTGGAAAAGAGTTGAAATTTCGTTTGACAATTCCATTTTAATAAATATTTCTGATAATGATTAAGAAATGATTTAAACAGAAATTGTCATATTGCTTAGAACTTAATTCGAGCAATGTTCGCTTTTACTAATCAGAAAATGATCGGAATTTTAATTGATGATAAATTCTATTAGGTGAATGAATGATCACTAATTATATTTATGGTTATCAGAAAACAGTTAAAAAAAACTTTGAATCATTCAGCATGGATCTCCAAAACAAATTTAAGTGCTTTAGGTAATCGGAAAGCGGTCAAAATTTTAAATGAAGACAAATTATTTTGGCGATAACGTATGAATGATTAGAAATGCCATTGGAGTTATTGTGATTAATCTTAGAGATCCAGTTTATTATAGCTAGTCAGAAAGTGTTTGGAATTTCGATTGAGGACGAATTCTATTTGGCTAAAAAATGACAATAAATATTGATTATCTCAGTCAGGAAGTAATTGGACATTGCACTGTTATCAAATTGAGAACTATAATTAAAATTAGACTGCTCTAGCTAGTCGGAAAGTTTTTATTGCAAGATTCTAACGTCATAGACACGAAAGTGAATCTACGACGTCAAATAAATGTACATTTTTTTAATTGGAACCAAAAATAATTACAATTTTATATCAGTTATAAGTGCTATCTTTTGCATGAGATTTCAAAATAAAACTATGATTATATAAAATTACAAACCTTTTGGGTAATCGGTCCTTTTCCGCCATTTTTCCTCCACTCCTCCATATAATCTTGGCATCTACTTTTATAAGGGGCTTTAAGTAATTGTAATCGAGTCTGAAATAGGTGATAAATAGATCAAAATAAGATATTTTATACAGGGTGTCCAAAAAGTATGAAAGGGACAAATATCTCAGAATATTGAATAAAAAATCTAAAAATGTATCTGCGAAATATTTTCAGAAAATACATTTAATAATACTTATCTTGACCCCCCAATTTCCCCCTGTGGGTGTGAGGAGGGGGCATCGTTTTCAAAATCTTAAATAGACATTCCGATTTTTTGTTGCAGATTTGGATTATCCTGAAAAATGCACCCCGATACTATTTACACGTTAATGCATTTTTGCTTACAGCTGTAATTTCAAAATGAAGCCAAGAAAAAAAATGTTTAGCATGGAGATATTTTGTGATGTACAAGTCTGATCGAAAAAACAAAAGTATGCATGTTGGATGTTTAGAAAACCTTACTTAATGTCACCAAATTCGTTCCCACCTCCAAACTCTACCAGAAGGTTTAACCAGGTGTTGCTTCAGATGGTGAAGTGGAATCAAATTTGGTATCATTAAATAAGGTCTTCAAAACACCAAACGTGCCCGCTTATATTTTTTATTATCTGTCTTATTATATTTGTATTATCTGTTAAGTACATCTCGAGCTATATGCATTTTAAAATTTTTTACGTCTTTTTTTGCGGTTACCACGCTATCTGTGAGCCTAAATACATCTATGAAGCAAATTGGTTGTTTAAGACACTTTTGTCCTTAACAACCAAATCTGCAATAAAGTGCCTATAAGTGCTAAGTTAAGAATTTGAAGTTGACCCTACAGAACACCAAGTGGAAAGATTAAAAATTGAATCTGGTATTATTGAATGCCTCTTCTTGAAATATATTTCACGTGCGAATTTCTCAATTTTTGATCCGATGCTTATTTTTCGAAATATTTTACTGTTTCTATATTTTAGGACACCCTGCATGTAAATCAAGTAAAAAATTTTGATGCAAAAATTATTAATGCAACTTAAAAGCAGCAATCTTTGTATGAACGTCATAACGTTTTGACGTCAATCGTCTTTGTCATACATTTTTATAAAAAAATTGTAAATAGCGAGTTTCTAAACAAATTATTACTCAAAAAAATTTTTAGCAAAATATTAAAAATAAGCAAAACTCCTCTGTTTCAATATTTTCGGACACCTTGCATATGAACGATGGCAAAAAATTAAATAAAAAATTATTAATGTATTTTGAAAACAGCAATCTTTTCGTGTTCTTTGTACATTTTTAGGAAAAATTTTAAATTGATAGTTTCTAAATACAAATTATTACTCAAAATAACTTTGAGCAAAATATTATATCGAAACAAACATTCCAAATTGCCTCAGCAATTGCAATTTAAAAGACTTTAAAAAAACTAATGATTAAATTTTACTTATGAATTTTTGTTTCAACTGCTCCCTTTACTTTGCTTTAGTATTATATTCAACATACTGTGTGTGTAATTCATAAAATAATTACCAAATAATTTTACATTTGAAGGATTTAAGCCAATATAGTTGAAAAACCTCGTTTTCAAATTATTCAATAGAGCAGCGGTTCCCAATTTTTTTCGACTACGGAACCCAAAATAATTAACCTTCTTTTGGCGAAACCCCGACTTTATAATTAAAGTTAAGGTAATAGTGAACGTTATAACCTATAAAAGATTATTTGTAAAATATTATAAAGAAGCAATATTATAATAATATTAGTGGATTGAAGATTTTTCATTGTCCTTATCATTACTAATCTTTAATTAAGTTTAATATCCGAGAATTAAATCTACAGTCCTTGTTCTGTAGCTAGTTTATTTATGAATTTGTTTTTGGTGCACTATATACATAAACTGAAAAATGATTAAAATAATCCGAATTATAGTTTAGTTTGAAATAAAAACTTAAAAGAACAATTATAAACGTTAAAAAAGTGAAACACTATATTTTTTAAAAAAGAAATTACCTATTTTATTTTATTTTGGAAAGCACGATAGGAAATACTAATGCAATGTTTTACGATATAAATGCTTATTTTTCTTAAATTTGTTTAATATATTGTTATTGGAAATGCTATATTTTGTTTTGCTAAATTTCCTTTCTATTTCTTAGAAAATTTATTTGAAATTGCATAAAGGTTATCCAAAGATTAAATAAATTATGAATTATACTTTATATCTTACTATAATCAGAGGTTTCAAAACTAGTTATAAGAAGTACTAACTCGCGGAAGCCCTTTAACTGAACCACGGAACCCTAGAGTTCCACGAAACACCACTTGGGAACCCCTACAATAGATCATTGTTGGTAAGAATCATGTATATATTATAAATATAAAGGCAGAAGTTTACCATTGACATGTAAAATCGGTATATAGCACCCATGTCTAAAATCTGTCCATTACTCATAGGAGAGGGGATGTGATATGGAGAATGTATACTGATTTGAGCACCCCTTGATAAATGCTCAGGATGATACTCCTCCACTTCTAAGTTTAAGATTAACCGAATCACTGAAAAGATAAATTCAACGAATATATAATAAATTCAATATGTTTCGTGATATGTTTATGTATTTCATGTATATATTCATGATAAGATGTTTTATATTCTAGCAAAATGAAAACACAGGACCAACCATATTCTTAATGCTAATATAGGGTTATATTAATTCACCCCTATTCTTCACTAAAATCAACGTTCTTTTTTAAAAAATTTTAAGAAAAAAAAAAAAAAAAAAANAAAAAAAAAAAAAAAAAAAAAAAAAAAAAAAAAAAAACACGGATTCAGTCAAATTTTTACCCAAACCGCCAAATCTCTACTACCGTAATGGTAGATTTCATGCGCAATAAATAAATATTTTTTTGTACATCATTGCGAAAAAATAAACGGACCACCCTGAATAACTAATGACCTCATGATCGGATCTTCACGTTCTAGGACTCAATCTTAATGGTACAATAGGGGAAGCTCGCTTAGCTGCGTATGGTGAAATTTCCAGGATCGGGTTCTTATACGATTTTAATCCTGAAGATGTACCCTAACTCTCCTAGAGGTTTTTTGCAACGTTTACTTGACCTCCTGCTGTGTGTAATGTTTTTAAAATTGTACAGTGCAAAAAATTGAAAAAAACTAACCACACTGAATAATCTAATAATCGGATCTTCACGTTCTAGAACTCAATCTGAAAGATTTGACGGGGGGACCTCAAATATGCTAATTTATTAGAGCAGACGATATTTTAAGTTACTAAATCAGACACAAAACATACTTTCACTAAATAAACATACTTTTTTTCAATGGATTCGGATTTCTGACCCAAAGTAATCGGGAAATATGGTTCCCTTAGTTTGGTCAAGAGAAGAGTCCCTAATTTGAACCCCTTGATGTTAATTTCAGTTTTTGTGTACATCGCCATGCCTCGAGAACTTTTTTTATGTGAATTCAAAAAAATTTGCTCACAATTATGAGATTCGGTTGTCCAAAAATAATTCCATGCAGAAAATAAATTTTAATTCATATTTATTATTTTTTATTATTTTAATTAATTATAGTAGAACAAATTTAGAAAGTTAAGGTATACAAATTTTTATATCCTTTTAAAGGACGTAATTTTGTGTGGCAAAATTTGAGCGAAATCGGTCGAATAGAACTTAAGAAATCGAATTTTAAAGAAGCCGTATTTTTAAAATTCGATTTCTCAGGAAATACTCGACCAACTTTGCTAAAATTTCGTATTTTGAATTATAAAATTACGTCCTTTGAAATGATATAAAAAATTTTATACCTTACAACTCAAATTTTTTTCGACCATTATTAAATAATATAATAAAAAATAATAAACATCTACTAAAAGTTATTTTTTACATGGAATTATCTTTGGGTAAACGGATTTTATAATTGTGTGCAAAAAAATTTTTCAATTCGTTTAAATAGTTTTCAAGATATGGCGAAATATCCAAAAAATAAAATTTACATTAAGGGTCCAATTTTTGAACCGTTTTCCTGATTAAACTATGTGAACCATATTTCCCTGATTGCGGCTACTCCTTATGTTTTGGGGGTCAGAAATCCGAATCTGTCCAGAAAAAAAAGCTATGCTGCTTATTCAGAGAAAGCACATTTTTTGTGCGTCTGATTTCGTAACTTAAAATATCGTCTGTTTTACTTAATTAGTACATTTGAAGGCACGCCCTCGAATTATTAAGATTGAGTTCTGGAACGTGAATATCCGTTCATTAGATCAAAAGTTATTCAGGGTGAAAAGTTTTTTTATTTATTTATTTTTATTTATTTTATTTATTTTTAAAAAGAAAATTTTTATTTTTTTTATTTATTTTTTTTTATTTATTTATTTATTTATTTTTTTATTTTTTTTTTAATATTTTTTTTATTTTTTATTTTATTTTATTTCATTTTTTTTTATTTATTTTATTTATTTATTTATTTTTTTATTTGCACTTTAGCATCCAAATAGAGTCTCGGTGCTGCCATCTAGTGTGGCAGAAACTAGACGCCCAAATTAGCAAGACCAACGGTATCTCACCCATTGTGGTGGTCCTGAAAGAGTGGATACCACCTCTGGAGAACGCACTANTTTTTTCTTTTATAAACTTAATTTTTTAATGATTTTAATCACCACTATTCTTAGAAAAATTAAGCAGATATATTAATATGCGTTACTATCATGGTTGTCAACTTAAGTTTTCTCAAATACAACGTATTTGTTTGCTTAAAGTTGAAGTTTTAATTCCATTTTAATACCACTGGGAAAAATGATAATGGAAGGGATTAAAAGTTGGCGGGTATGCAATATCTATTTGATCTTGGAAAAGAAGCAGATTTCGTATGTTAAAATCTTAAAGAAATCTTGATAGTTTCAGATATTTTATTTTTCTCGAAAAAAATGCCATAATAAAATTATTTCGTACCAGTTTTTCATCTTTTCCGTCTCGCTATATAAGGGCTTTCAGCCATGGTATTACATACCCTTCAACTTATGAATATTTTGAAAATAATTCTTTCTAGTGGTAGTGAACCAAAGTAGAAATTTTTAAAGCAAATGGATCTCTCATAAAACTTTTATCAGAACTTAAGAATCTAGCCATATGGCCTGCACTTTTATAAGTAATAGTGGACAAGTTACGCTAAAATAAATTTTTTTTAAACATTAAGACATTAATTTTGCTACCGTCTGAAAAGAAGATTTCTGAAACTACGGAAATTCCGTAGCAGTTGGAGGGTATGCTACCCCACCTTCCCTTTCATACTTACACAACGTGACAATATCAGTAATAGTAATGGCGACTACCAATACTTGTTAACAATTGATATCTATACATTTACGTTTGAATATATGGTATTTATTTGAAGCCCGGCTACCGGGGGGAGGCGAGGGAGTGCAGAGGGTGTCCTCCCCATTTGTAAATTTTGTAAATATCTTATTGTTTTTATTATCTTATGTACTATTTGCAACTTATATTATATTTAACCCAGATTTGATTTCCCAATTGTATATATATACGACTTAACAAATGTTAAGTACCGCACCTTCCTTCCCTTCCTTTTATCTAAACTCGATGAAGGAGCAGATATCCACCTATGATAGGCACTCCGAAAATACTTGAAAGATTAGCAGTTAGTGGTATTTATTAAAAGTTTACTCTGAGCAGGGGTGAAAGCGAGACGGAAAAGAGGAAAGGCTGGTAGTAAAACCATTTCAGTTATAGCTAGTTTTGGGGAGGAGTTTACTTACTCTTTTTTTAAATTTTTCAACAATATCTACTTCATCTTGGAAAAGAAGCAGTTTTATATATATGCCAGAATTATAAAAGAAATCTTGATAGTTACAGATATTTCATTTTTTTTCGAAAGAAATGCTGGAATGAAATGTTTTACGTACCAGGTTTTTCTCTTTTCCGTCTTGCTACATAAGGGCTTTCACCCATGACTCTGAGCACGTACACATCTCTAAAAAATTATAAAATGAACATAATATTACATACCTGCCAACTTTCACTCTTTCCGAGAATGGAGTTTTACAGTGGTTGTAAAACAATAAACGAAAAACAATCCGACTGCAAAATATATTTATATTTTGATCCCGTTGAAATTCGCTTGAGCAAGGATTATTATGCTTTAATATATTTATTGTAATTATTTATGTGTAGTGGTGGTCAAACTCATCTATAATTATCATTATAAATCAAAAAGTTAATTGGAATAACCTGAGTATTGCTACCACTTTAAATATAAAAATAAAATCTTCCGGAAAATCCGGAAGAGTTGGCAGGTAGGGCAAAAAATTTGTTTAAAATTAATTTTTACTATTATTTATATTAATTACAGTAATATAACGAGTTATTAGTAAATATTAACAATAAAAAAGTTAAATGTTGTACAAAAAGGCGCAATATTCTAAGAAATTGTGTCCTTACATGCATCATTGCTTTTTTAATTGAAATTAAAAAGCACTCAAAATGACTTCCTTGGGCAATCTAGTGTTTAAAGATTGAATAAAGGTAGGCAAATATTTTATTTTAAAAACAAAAAATCTTATTTTTTAGCTAATACTGTAAACCTTTTTTTTCTTCCTTTTTTTCCCTTCTAGCTTTGTCCAGGCTCTCAAATGCAACATTTTGTTTGTGTTTAAAATTTACTGATCAAGCCAACCTTTACTTTTAAAATGTTTAAAAAAAGTATATAAAGGCCAGTGCAAATAAGCTTTGTCTCAGTGATGGGCATAAAATGTAAAATAAACCTTGAGAAGAAAATTTATCCTCGGTTTGAGAACGCTTTCCACTCTTGATTTGCGAATGACGATTCATCCTCGATTTCAGAAAGTTCTTCTAACCTTTGTTTTATAAAGGCAGATTCAATCTCGCTATGAAAGCGTTGTTATGCAACTTTAATGATAATCTCAAAGCGCTTAAACTAGCATAGTTAACTTTAACATTGTTTCAAGTTTGCCTCATTTAAAAACCATGTTGGGCTTTGTGATAAAGGTTGTTGCTGACATTAAAATCCACCTTACACTGCTACCTGGGTAGTGGTAGTAAAATGAAAATTGTTTGAAACTGAAATGTGATAATAAAATAATTTATTTCATTTAGATAAAATGATAAATGCAGTTTTGGTTATGAAATTGTTTTAGTTCAGCATGAGTTCGTATTAAAATTCATTAATTTTATTAATTTATATTTTATTCAATCACCGTTTTCTTCATTATAATTTTGTGTAAAATAATTTTTGTTAAGCTAAAGGGAAAAAAAATATTTCAGAAAAATACATTTAATTTGAAACTACTTAAATCAGAATTATTCAACCACATAATTTTGAGAAGAATTCAAAATAATTAAAATCAGTAAAAATGTTGCTGCAAATTTTACGTATTTAGCTTAAATATTTTATTTTAAGTTTTCTAATTAGTTTCAAATTTCCATTTGATTCGTAAACTGGTTACAAAATGTCCATTATGGTTGCCAAACCTGGTTTCACGATTTCAGGCATGAATTCATACCGGCTTTTATGTTTAAACTGGTTCTGGTATCATTTCAACTGATTCCGATATCATTACGATATTCTCATTCTGAACATTTTTCCTTTAAAGGTATGATCTCTAACAACCGATGGCAGTTTCTCAGTATGAAGATCTTTTTTTCGATGAAAGCATTTCTACGTTCGATAGACTTCCCGAAGAAAGGAGATGGACGTTTAATTTAACGGTCCAACTCTACGAATTTTGCTGATGTTTATTCGAATTTTGGAGAGTGGGTTTTTTTCCCTCAGAGAAGGGATCTGGCCGAATAAATTAACGGTCGATTCTCAGGATGTTTCGGAAAATTTCTTAGAGAGTAGATTAATCGAGATAGAAATTAAGTACAAATAATAACTTTTCTAAAAAAAAACTAAAGAAGAAGTTTCGCGTGCTTAATCATTTAAGTATAGACTTAAATTTTAGAAATCTTCCTCAAGGTTTTTGAATTAAAATTAAGCAATGACGTGTATACATATCAAACGCAGGACAAATGTTCTTATTGTAAATTTTGCGAAAAACTTACCAAAATTACTTCACCAGTTATAAGAAATATGAAGGAATGCTTTCTAAGTCCAGGTGAAGTAAATGTCGTGAATAGTTTATAATTGACAGAGGACATAAATTTTTAAATTCTCTGTGTATGTAATTAAAACCAATCATTGGTGCAGAGAAAATGCCTTTCAAAAAATATCCGATGTTTTTTGGAATTTCTCCGCATATTTAACGGTTTGAAACCGCTTTGTTAACAAAACGGTTTTTCTCCGTTTTTCACCCAAATAACAAACGGATTAAAACAATCAGTTGAAATTCTAGTTTTTGCCATGCGGTTTTGCGTTCCCTACTACAACTTTACCTTTTCTCCAATCATTTTATGATAACTTGTTCTTACTTTACTTTTTAGCAATTACTTTATGATTTTGAACATTGTAAAAATGAAATTGCGTTTCGACTTTATCGTGAAATTGATAAAATATTGAAGCGAAATTTTCAATATCATAATATTTTCCTTGCAAAATACTTGAGCAACTGTGGCTCAGGAGAGAGAGTGCGCACCTCCGAATGAAGGGACTCAGGTTCGAATCCCAGCGATGACTGGTCGATACGAATCCTACCGACATAAAATATTCACATTTGGTGAGAGTATAGATTTATTTCGTAAGTTTCCCAGATTAAACTTGCTCCCATATGCTTAAAATCTGTTAAAATGATAGATTTATATATGCTGTAAAAACTTTTGTTACGATAAAAAAAAAAAAAAAACAGTCTGATTACTGATTTTTATCGTAATTTTTATTGCTAAAACTTGTTTTTGTATGATAAAAAAAGTGTTGAAGCTACGGATTTACTTTCTTAATTTTGCTGTGTTGCATAAACAACCCAGCTGCCAGTTTTAAACCGTAAATTTTACAAGATTTTTTTTTTTTTTACAGTGTGGTCTTATTACAAATTTAATGAAAATTTTGATACCAATATCTCTTTAACAGTTATAACATTTTTTAGGACTATTTTTTTAATCAATGTAAGGAAAATAATGGTGAATCATTTGTGATTAAAAATAGTTGGTTTCGGGTCGCTAGCTCTCCCCCCGACTATCCCGCAATATAAAATATTTAACAGTTCTATTGGTTCCACCTTTGGCATACTACCAAATAATATTCTTATGGTATGTTTTATATTAATTTCACGTTTCGACAGTGAATGAATATTTTATTTCACACGACGTGTATATACGTAAAATGCATCGCAATAATGATGTGGCCCGATGTGTATGCACATTAAACGTACTTAACTGGGTTAAGCCAATAAAAAAAAGTTTCACAAAAATTCCACAATGTTCATGTTACCAGTGATTCTGAGCAGCATTTTTTGCAATATTCAGACCCCATAAGAGTTTGCTTTGTTTTCTGTTCATGTGAGTGTTTGTCCGTGTAAGATTTTGTTTACTAGCGATCCCGGTTTACACAAGAAATTAAATTGACCGTTAGAGCTTAATATTGAATTCTTACGTGCAATTTTCTTCTGCACCATCTGTTTCAATGACACAACTGCGTATGAGCCCACGAAATTGATGACCAAATTGGCGTCTTTCTTCTCTGTCCAAGTTATATTCGCTGACAGGATGGATTGGCAGCTATAAACAGTTGAATACAATAACAACAAAAAATAAGCTACGGATAAAAGTTGAATCATTTCCTTCTTAATTAGATGATTATTCCAGAATTTTATAAACCTTCGAGTACTCAATTGCATTTTTTTTTTCAAAACATTTTTAAAACTTTTGTTGTCATGGTGTTGTTTTGGTCACCTTGAAATCGTGTTATCGTTATTTGCTTTTCATTTATTTTCGTTGGAATTAAAAATAGAGATTTGCAGACATCTAGCAAAACATATATATATATTTAATGGCGGGCACTTGGAACTATTGTCCATTGGCCACAGAAAGTGCCAGAACTGCTAACTCTCTTTTCGTTACCCAGTGGGCACCTGTGGCGAAGCCACGGCAGTGGAGCAGCATCGCCCGCGTCACACTACCACAACCCATTTATAGGACGGGTCACATTCACACATTCACACACAAAGGAGAAAGAACATAAAACACAGATAGAGAGAAAGAAACATCCATGCCTTGACCGGAATTCGAACCCAGAACCTTTCTGGTGCAGGGACAGTTCCCTGCCTCCTACACAGGCCGGTCGGCGCAAAATATATATATTGAAAAAACGATGCAATGCTGTTTTATTTATGGCGTAAACGTGTAATAGTTTTAAATACTATTTGATTTCATTGTGTTTCTATAGAAAAGTGTAAAAGTTCATCTGATATCGCATTAAAATGTTTTATGTGGGGGGAAAAGTGGGCTAAGACCAGGTAGATAAGATTTAAAAGCCTGTTGGAGTTAAATTGTTCAACTTAGATTCTATCAGATTTACAGGAGCCGAATTTAAACTTTGTGGGTCCCTGAGCTATTGGAAATAGTAATAGTACCTCTCATTCAGCTGATTTTTAGTAATTTTTTTTATCGCTTTGAAAAAGAAAAGTAAAATTTGACTAACGGAGACCCCTAAGCGTCTATTTTTTTTCCGATGAAATATATTATGATTACATACCGGTATGTTTTTCTGCCCCACAAGACGACAATATTCCGGATACAGTTGGCAATGTCTTGGATAATCATTTATTGTTGCACATTTAGAAGGATATTTTCTGCAGTAAGGACCAACACGTATTCTGAAAATTGAAAAAGAACACAAACAAATAGTTTTCAGCAATTGCAATCACATACACGTAATAAGGATATTTTTGTTCTAAATGTAAAGTAGTTTTCTTAAGAATTATATTCTGAGGAAGCATTTATATCAGAATGCTTCCAAAAATCTGCGTTAATCTAAGAATATATATTTCTGAGACAACGGCGAACATGCGTACATTGAAATCAACTTTAAAGAAAACATTATGCTGATATATTTTCTGTATGTTCCATTTCATATTAAAAACCATGACTATTTTATTCAAGATAGAGATGTTGTATTACGATGAACTCGGTTTTCAAGTGTGCACTGCTGTGAGAAACAACACATTTTTTTTTCTTCCGATTTCCATATAGGAAAAAGAACATAATTTCCCCTTTATATTTATAAAGCGCTATGTGTGAGCTACCGACGGCCAAGTTATCTGTTTCCAATTTAATCCTGCCTTACACTTTAAAAGAATGAAAGCGTCTTATGGCCTTTTTATCTACAACGCCCCCTTAAATTTTTTTTCTTAACAGCTTGCTATTGAAATCATAATTCATTGTTGTCAATGACATTAAAAGCTATTGCATTTCCTTTTCATTTATTAATTTTTCTTGCATCTTGCAAAAACTCTCAGATCAGTCTAGAATCTGTTGGAAAAAATAGATAAAATATTCCAACGTATGTATTTCAAAACAAAATAGTTGCACAAAATTACCGAGAAAGAGGTATTTATTTCACCTTTTAGCTTTTTAACATTTTGTTTTTAATAACAAGCTAGTCTGCAATTGTGAATCTTCTGTCATTATTACAGTATTCTTTTTAATTATTATCACATTTTTTCTTATTAAGGCTAACAAAAATGTACGAATTTAATTTTTTTTAAAACAATAGACAACATTTTCAATTTGTAAAAGAATTATTTTTCGTTTGCTTTTTTTTCCTTAATTAGCAAAGAAAAATAGTTCACTCTTTTTGCTTTAATTAACGTCAATAATCTGTAAAAGGCTTAGAGTTGGTAACAATTTTTTTCTTTCTTTATTTTGCTTTTCCGACATCAATGTTAATATTGCTCCCGAAAAAATAGAGTGCAGTTATGCATTATTTCAGCTTTTATAAGGATTATAAACATACAAGATGTTTTTCCCCCTCCGCTTTTTATATATATTTTAGAAAATAAAATCAAGAAATTATCTAAAATAGAGATCTCAAATTATTAATTAAGTCAGGAAAAAAAACCTTTAACAAAACCTGATGAATAAATTATGAGGAAACATTAAAACATTAAAACCTGCTTGATTACAGACGAAAACTTAGAAAGTGCAAAAGGCAATAAGAAACTCTTTGAAATGAAATTTTTTATTAAATTCCACTTTTCTTAATAGTGATAAAATTTTGAATTTACCATCACTTAAATAATGTAATCGTGATATATTTTTGTTTTGTGTTCCTGACAATTTCGATGCATAATTATTAATTTGCATATGTTCTACTTGACTTCAGGCCTGTCTTTGCGTTAAGTAAGAAATATATGGGGAAAAATTTAAATATTTGTGAAATAATCTTTGTCTAAGAATATAGAATGTGTCACTTAAGAAAATTGATGCTCGACAAGTTTGGCTTACGTGAAATAGAATGGAAAGAACAGCTGCTAACATAAACAAATGTCACTTTTCAACAACCCATTAGAGTCGAGACACCCACACTAGACACACTAGAGTCGAGACACCATATGGTCACTTCCATGTGTCTCATTGCGACTTTACTTTGTTTACTTAATTTTTAGCAAGTATTCTACAGTATATACATAACAAGAGTGGTTATTACAAAACACCTTGTACAGATAAATAACATAAGAACTTAACTTACTCGTTCAAGTTGCAGACTGTAAAAGCTGGAAAATCTACTTCATGAGGTTGACTCACGTCTAACTCTACAACTGAAGGATATGCCAAATACATTTCAAGAAACTTTGCACTCTGAATAGCAAAACCTACTACCATAAGTATTTTAAATATAAGACGAGCTTGAAATCGACAAAAAGACAACTTCTTATAAAACTTCTTCTCTATTGGTTTGAGTTGCTTATCAGGAGTTATCGTTGAAGAACTGAACATTATTTTACAATTGAAATAGGTTATTATTTGTAAATATTATTTTTATCTGAGAAAATATCGTTTTAAATTACGTTGCTGAAATATCGTTTTCATAAAATGTACCCGGGAAAGTAAAATAAAAATCATTTTTATAAGAGAAAATATCGTTTTAAATTAATTATGGAAATATTGGTTTCATAAAAATTTTCTGAAACGATAAAATGATTAATTATTTCTTATCAATAATCGCTATAAATTGAATGGCTGAAATATTATTTTCAAATAATATGAGTAAAATAGTTTAAAATGAAATTGAACTTATTTTTTGTCCTAAATAATCGATATATTGAACAAAGCACGCAAATAAGGCAAAGATTTTATAAGAAATAGATACAACTCTTATCCAAACGATTCTTACATTCCCATTTATAAATATAAGAACATTTGAACAAAGATAGAGGAAATATGCTTTTATTATGAACTTTTGTTCCGAAAATTCCAATTAGTTTACTTGAATCCAAATCGGTGCCATTGCTTACAAAATTTCAAACTACAATATTTGAACCAATTCATTACGCTTACCATTTCACGGGCAATTATCAAAAAATTTGTAGTTATCCTATGTTAAACATAACTTTTCGAGAAAACATTGATATATAAACTACTGCAACGCATAATGAAGTTAGTTATTTTCGCTAACAAATATCACGTTACTCGAAAAAATTGGTGTTTTTATTTAAGCCAGAAAAAATGTCATTTACCCCTTTCTATTCTTGTAGCTTTCATCATTAATTCAAAAAGAAGTTTTTGCTATTAACTTTCAAATATAAATACAATAATTGATCATTATTTATTATCTAGTAAACAGTCAAATTAATAATCAACAACAAAAATAAAAATTAGTAGTAAATAAACTTGCAATGCACACAGTTTATTTACTTACATCAATCAATCAATCAATCACTGAAATTTAAATAACAACATTTTTCGTTTACGTGTATTCAACAGTTAATAAGAACTAAAAGAAAATAGCTCTTGCCACTGCACTTGTTAACTACACCAAATTATTTCCAATATTATTATTTTAGGATAAAAGCTGTTTACATATCCATAACGATTTCAGGCGAAATAAAATCTATGATAATCAAGGAAATAAATAGGACACTCCAAACGATAATGGTGTTCCAGTATGTTATAATTCTATGTTTTCGAAGAGAGAAAAAATGTAAACAAAAATTGCGTGATAAATTTTTCTAGTAATATAATTTGATACAAAAAAAGGTCAATATGTTACAGAAGAGTTAAAACGAGTAACAAAAAATGAAACATGAATTGTTTTATTATTATTATTTTGAATAAAAAATTTCGTTTTTTAATTTATTTACGATAATTTAGATTTTATTCATTTCAACAAATAATAATAATCACAGTTATAAATCTTATTAATGCTTATAATGCAGTATTTAATTATTATAATTATTGTAATTTATATATTAGATTTGTGTATACTAATTAATATAATATTGATTATTATAATTAATAGACATTAATTATAATTATCGTAATTTATATACTATATTTACAGATATTAATTGATATTATATTTATATGTACTAATTAATATTATATTGATTATTATAATTAGTATATATTAATTATTATAATTATTTATAATTATTTATAATTTTTATTAATATATGTGCTATGAACTATGTTAAGGGTATTTACTTTACCAGAAAAACGCTCCGGTTTTCGATTTCTCTTAAAGTTTCTTTTTATTAAAATGCATTCCTTTTTCTTAAATGAAAATTCGTGATGCATATTTTTATAATACTTGTCAAAATTAAAATCTGCAATGAATGTTAAAAGTGAAGTACACATTTGGGGTCGTAATTTGAAAACTTGTATTTCCATTTATGTTTTAATTGAAAAACTCAAAACGTCATTAACAAAAGGTTTAAAAAATGTAAACGTTATTAAGAGTTAAAAGCATCCCATCCGCTAAGCGCATCTAAATTACATTCGTAGGAAAAAATGAAAAAAAGAGGAAATATAAATCAAAATTCAAAATATAACGTTTACATTGCATTCCATAAAGACTATCCTTTATAACATAGATTCTCAACCTTTTTAACGTTGCCGCCCCCTTAAAGAGCAAAAAACATTTCAACGCCCCCCTCGTGAAAATGCAGTTGTTTAGAGCATAGGGGCGGAGGGAGGTGTGCTGAATTATAAGCAAAATCTTAATTTCTTTACGCTTTAAATTTGTTTGGTCTCTTTAAAAAATATAATGTGCTCATTAACTCGATAATTTTCTCGCGGCAGGTAATCGCAGTCTATTTGTTATAATAAAAATAAATACGTTTAATGAAAAAAATACAACAAAGAAACCTATGCTTAAAAAAATAATTTATTNAAAAGGGTCAATATGTTACAGAAGAGTTAAAACGAGTAATAAAAAATGAAACATGAATTGTTTTATTATTATTATTTAGCATAAAAAATTTCGTTTTTTAATTTATTTATGATAATTTAGGTTTTATTCATTTCAACAAGTAATAATAATCATAGTTATAAATGTTATTATTTTTCTTTATAATGTAGTATTTAATTATTATAATTTATATATTATATTTATATATACTAATTAATATCATATTTATATATACTAATTTATATACTATATTTACATATATTAATTGATTATATTCATGTATACTAATTAATATTATATCGATTATTATAATTAATATATTTTAATTATCATAATTATTTATAATTTTTATTATTATGTATGTTGTGAATTATATTAAGGATCTTTACCAGGAAAACGCTCAGGTTTTCGATTTCTTTTTAAGTCTCTTTTTAGTAAAATGCATTCCTTTTTCTAAAATAACAATTCTTGATGCATATTTTTAGAATACATGTCAAAATTAAAATCTGAAATGAATGTTAAAAGTGAAGTACAAATTTGGTGTCGTAAATTAATATTTATATATTAATTAAAATTAATTAAAATTAATATTATAATATTAATAATATTATTATTATTAATATTAATATCAAATCCTGTCAAATCAGTTTGTTTCATGAAAACTGAGAATCATGAAAACCTGTTTGATTACTGGATGAAATTTGGTGTTTCGGATAATCCTTTTCTTCCCCCTATTCTCTTCGCTACAATCAAACAAGTTGTGATGTTTTCATTCCCACTTTTTTTGGCAGTGATTCTTCGGTTTTGATATCGGTTTAATTTTTTTGTCACATTAATCTGAATCTGCGATCCCTAATAAAATTCTTTTTATCTTCATTAATGGCAAAGTTTCCGAAAAAATACATTTTAAGGGAATCGTGTATGAACACTTAGTCTATAATATGTGAAAAAATCGGAAAAATTTGAAAGCTTGCACTTATATTAATGTTTTAATTGAAAAAGTGAAAACTTCAATAACCAAAGGTTAAAAAAATTTAAACGTCATTAATGATACGTTATTAAGAGTAGAACACTAAAAGCTTCCCATCTGCTAAGCGCTTCTAAATTACATTTGTAGGAAAAAATGGAAAAAAGAGGAAATATAAATCAAAACTCAAAATATTACGTTTGCATTGTATTCCATAAAGACTATCCTTTATAAATAAATGCAATATAGAATGTTTCATACCGGTCTTTTTGTATCAATTCATAGCTAAAAATAGATAATCTTATTAATTTTAAGACGTATGCATCATTCTTTCACAAAAAGAGATAAAAATTCAATATTTCAATTAAAAGATCATTTTCTGAAGTTAATGGATATTTTTATATTCTTGAAAATAAAAATAAAAAACCCAAAAATATCCTAAAGTCTGTGTGACGTCGTCTGTTCAAACGAATCAAGATGGTTAAATTTACTTTTTTGGATCAAATTTGGTTGCGTAAAAGATTTTATTGCAACTTATTTACTTTCAGAATCCTTGAATAAAAAGCGTTGCAAATAAAGTTTTTCGTGGCTTTTTCATCGTGTAACTGCTAATAAGACTACGACCCGAAAGACCTGATTCCGAGACCCTGACAGGAGAAACCTCTTCCTTAAAGAGCTTACCTCAAGATAATAAAACTTGATATGCTAAATAAAACTTGAAAGAAACCAACTTATGAGCCATTTATGAAAATTTAGATCTTAGATTTTATATATATAGAATAGGTATTTTAGATTTCAGAATTTTAGATTTTAGAATCAATTAATTTTTAAAATGTCATAAATGTCTACACAAGTGGGATCACAAATTAATATTTAAATGGAGAAAAAATACTACTTTCAACACAGATTAATTTGACCTGTTGTGAAAAATTGTGTTAACGCCATTAATAAATTAGTAATACATAAACACATTTGATCTAGTCATAAATAACGATTCATAAGTCTTGACTTATCAACCCAACTTAGCCTGAATTTTTATACAAAAAATTTACCTGTGAATTTAAAAAAAATTAATTTGGTGGATTAGTCTATGTTTTTCAAAGTCTGACTAAATATTTCAGAGATTTTTAAAAAAAGAAACAAAAGAAACATTAATTGGACTGTAATCAAGAAAGGAATTCAACTTAATACGAAAACCTTTCATTTCCATATGAAGAATTCGCAGAATAATTTTTTTTTTCATCCTGAGTTTTTTTTTTTTTTTTAAATTTATGATTTTATTAGCGAAAATTTAAACTTTAAAATAAAAATAGCCTGACCAAATATTTAAGTTTGAAAAATTTGTATTGTGTATTGCAAAATTAAATTATCTAATATTATGAACTTATTTATATTTTACAACGTTTGAATTAACTTTTTGTATAAAGTTATTCGATATAAAATTTAAATATACTCTTTAAATGCTTTAGTTAAATATAGTTGAACATATTTTTCAATGAGTAAGATATTTCTCCACTTATTAATTATATATCCCTCAGATATCTAGATATTACATAAATTGAGATCTGGCAGAAGTTTCTTAGATATCAATGTTGTGTCCTGGTTATCTCTTGTGAAACA